AACACTGCCAGAATTTTCAAGATTGTTGATCTGCAGTTGTAATGTGGTGTGAAAATATCATGTAAAAACTCTTGGTGAAAGAGGCTCAGGTATTGTGGTTTGTGGCCTACATTCATAATTGAAGGAATTCTAAATTTCAGTTAGAGCCTAGTTGAAATATGTACTTTTTCCATCTAACTTCACAAACCCCTGAACTCTTTCTCTCTCTCTCTCTCTCTTTTTTAATTTTAAAGATGTGGAATACAATTCAGGGTTAGGTATACAAATGGTCATTGTGGAGGTACCCTTGTTGATGAGCTGCGCCCACCCCCCCATCCCCTGGCAGTTTCCCACTACTGCCAATCCCTTTCTTATAGTACGATGATAATTGTTCAAGGTCCCCTTGCGAGTGAGAACATATCCATGAACCCTGAGGGGTAAAGATCCAGGCAGGAATGCCTGCTTTGTTAGGATCTGTGCTGTGGCGCCAAAGCCTTCAACTCTAGTAGCTCTGATGTGGGCTGTTAGCATCATGAGAGGAGGGAAGCCCTACTTTCCCAAGGCCCTAGGGTTCTACTCACTGGGGACGGTGGAGGTTGCCAGGAAACTAAGTCCCAGTAAGGAATGCTATCAAGCTCCTCTGAAACAGGGCTGATCCTCCAGCCCAAACCTCACGGTGCACTAGGGGTGATGTTTGGAGCCATTCAGATGGCAAGGACGGGCTTATTTCTGTGATACCTAGGTTCTTTCACTCCTTACATATTTACTCCTTACATATTTAGTGAGAACCCTACTTTGTGCAAGTTACTGGGGAAACCTGATGAAGCCCACAGGCTGGTGGGAAAGCAGTCAAAAAGTTAGCCTGGCGTGGCAGTGGACCCGGTGTGGGGGGAGCTTGGTCCTCCTTGAGCCATAGGGCAGCCAGCTTTGGAGTCTGGGATTTCTCACAAACTTCCCTTGAGGCCCCAGCCTGGAGACCTCCAGGCCATGCCCAGCAGCTATTCAGCTAAAAAGGAGCTAAGAGTCTATGGCAGCCTCTGTCATTCCCTTGTAGCATTGAGTAGGGAGTAGGAGATGGGGCCAGAGAAAGCAGTAGCAAACAGAAGGCCACACACGTGGAGAGAAGAGAACCCTCTACACTGGCTTCCAAAAGTAAGAGCACTCACCCACAAGGTCTCTCCTCCTGTCTGTCGGAGGTGGTCAGGAGGGTGAGGCCCACTTCTTGCAAGACCCTGAAGCCTTTAAGAGCATCCAGCTCCCTGAACCTTGGTTTTGCCTGTTCATTTCTGCAATCTGGCCCCAGCCACAACCCATTCCAGTCGTTTCTCCCATACCAGCCTTCTGGACCGTGATGTTAGCACAGTCCCCCTCGGAGTTGTGATCCAAAAGTTTATCTATAAGTCAATTAGTGCACAGATGGTACTAAAGCAGCACCCACGAAAAATCAAACAGAATTAAGAAGGCCTTTCAGGATGGCAGACCCCTAAAAGAGTCCCTGTCCCACAACCCGGCCCCTACGCTGTGCAGGACAGAACTCTAGTTTGATCTCCACCACCAGAGGGAGACTCATGAGAACCACAGCCAGAAGAGATTCTTGGTAATTGACCAGAATCTGCACTTCCTAGGTATTACAACCACAGGATAACAGAAGGTGAACCTGGAATCAGACAGAATAAATTAGTCTTGAGGGATGTTTCATCCACCAGGCACATGGATGAACTGTTCCCTGGAGCCCATCTCTCCCGCCCACCAGGCCACCCCCCTTTCTTGCTGTCAACCTTCTCCAGCTCTGTTAATACCATTAATTTGGCTCCAGCATCTTTCACGGTTAGTTGGGCCTGAATTCAAATTCAGATTCCTGTCCTTCCTCCTGGTCCTAGGACACGTCTGGCTCCAAGGCCTCTGAATGTACCTTCTGCAGCTGGAGCGTCCCCTTTGTAGAGAGGGTCCCCTAACACAGGCACCCAGCCCTGCTTACTGTGACCACTTGGCCCCGTGGATAATTGGTGGCATGCAGAAAAGACCAATTTAAGGAATACACTTTAAAAGAATCCTTGTCTGAGATAGTCTCCTGCTGAAAAACAGAATCCAATCTAGTTAATAGGTGAGCTATAGGACTAATTAACCTGCCTGAAAATGCTTATTAGATCATTAAAAGAACTTGCTTGGAATGAATTGCCCCCCCCGGGGGTGGGGGCTTTTTAGTGAGTAGCTTAATTTCCCTGACTCTCAGTGTGTTCTTTTATAAAATGGGCACAGTCCTGTTAGCTTGCAGTGTGGTAGGCATTAGAGACGGGGCAGGAGAGTGCCCTAGCTCCCATGCATTCTTGGTCAATGATAGCTGCTGTTGCAGCTATGGAGTTTGTAAAAATTTCATTTTCTAGACAGCCCCCTTAGAACAGAACTGTTCCAGACTGTCTTAATTCTTGTTTCCCAGCAGCTGCGATGAGTCCACTCCATTTCTGTTCACAGAAAGCCGTCTGGCAGTATTTTAAGAGAAAGCATTTTTATCAAAGTATAAATATTCCACATTAACTTTTAGTGGTTGGACTAAATTAATATATTATTTTAAAATTAAATTAAATTTATTTATTTATTTTTGGGACAGGGTCTCATTCTGTTGCCCAGGCTGAAGTGCAGTGACACAATCTCAGCTCACTGCATCCTCTACCTCCTGGGCTCAGGCAATCCTTCCACCTTAGCCTCCCAAGCAGCTGAGACTCCAGGCACATGCCCCCATGCGAGGTTATTTTTTTTTATTTTTTGTAGAGACACGGTCTCGCTATGTTGTCTCAAGCTGTTGCTTGAGTTTCTGGGCTCAAGCAGTCGTGCTTCAGCCTCCCAAAGTGCTGGGATTACAGGTGTGAGTCACTGGCCTGGCCTAATATTTTAAATTCTAAGAAATTGTTTTCTGCAATTACAAGACTATTGAGAATGTTCTTCCTTTTTTTTTTTTTTTTGTTTGAGTTGGAGTCTCACTCTGGCGCCCAGACTGAAGTGCAGTGTCACGCTCCCGGCCACCGCAGCCTCAACCTGCTGGGCTCCGGCGATCCTTCTGCCTCAGCCTTCCGAGTAGCCGGAATTACAGGCACCGGCTGATTTCTGATTTATTGTAGAGATGAGGTCTCGCTGCCCAGGCGGGTCTCAAACCCACGGGCTCAGGCAATTCACTCACCTCAGCCTCCCAAAGGCGCGGGATTACAGTTTGAAATTTGAGACATGTGCTATAGAAATAATGTTATTCAGGTGGCCAGTGTCCCAAGCTGCCTACTGGTTTCAGGCTCAAACTCTATAGGGCATTTCTAACAGCTCCTGGGTGCCCATGCTTCCCATTCAGCACCACACTCTGAGTAGCAAGGACAGGGAGGGGGGAGCAGCTGGCATTGCTTTGGGGTGACAATGATGGGTGAGGCAGGTGAGGCATTGGCAGGGACGAGGGCTTCTGATGAGGCTAGGGGGCAAGACTCATTGGATCAGGGAGGAGGGCAAAGGGCTTGTGACAGGTGCAACTCCCTGGGCACTTCCTTGCTGGTATGTACCTTTGCCCTGGTGTTTGCCAGACTGCTGCCCTCCTCACCTACCCAGGATCCCTAAACTCTCCTGCCCAGCCACAGAATCTGGCCTTCCCTTTGTTCCCAGGGCAGGCACACTCTGTAGAAAGGCCTTGTTTTTTTGGGTTTTTTTTAAGTTGGAGTATCATTGTCACCCAGGCTGGAGTGCAGTGGCACCCTCACAGCCACTGCAGTCTCAACCTGCTGTACTCAGGCAATCCTTCCACCTCAGCCTTCCAGGTAGCTGGAACTACAGGTGCACACCACCACATCCAGCTAATTTTTTGACTTATTGTAAAGATGAGTTCTCCCCAAGTTGCCCGGGCTGGTCTTGATCCCCTGGGCTCAGGCAATCCTCTCGCCTTGGCATCCCAAAGTTCTGGGATTATAGGTGTGAGCCACTGCACCCTGCCAGAAAGGCCCTTCTAATAGAGGTGGGTTTCTGGTAAACAGCCTGGGAGTCATAGGTCTGACTCCTTGTTCTGCCCATGTTTGTTTTCACTTAGATCCATTAAGGAAATGATAAGTAGCAGAAAGATAGGAAAGGCTGGTCCTTGAGTGCACCAAAGATAAGAATTTAACACGCATAACCCCCCCGCTCCCGCTGTGTCACCTGCCTCACTCGTCCCTCCCCTTGGTTTTCCCCATTTCCTCTCACAGGATGACTGTGAGAACTCAGAGGACAGGACAAGAAGTAAGTAGGTTCATCTTTGTATTCCTACAGTGTATATTTAGACTCAGGCCAGTGGCAGGAAGGAAGCTAGTGGGGCTGAAGGTGGGCAGGGGTGAGGGAGCAAAGAAAGATTTGTCATAGAAATGAGTGAGGAAGAGGAGGCACTTAAAGCCAAGAGATATTTCTAGCAGTTGTGTGGAAACCTCCCTGCTTCCTCAGTCTATGACCCAAACCCCTCTTGACCTTCTGTGGTGGGTGGGGGACTTAGGTGGCATGGCTCAGAAGTACCCCCTGCTAGGGTCCTTCCAGAACAGTAACATTTTAGCAATGAGACAAAGGTAAGCCCATCTCTTAGAAGCAGATCTTGGCTGGGTGTAGTGGCTCATACCTGTAACCCCAGCACTTTGGGAGGCTGAGGCGAGAGGATTGCTTGAGTCCAGGAGTTGGAGACCAGCCTGGGCAGCAGAGCGTGACCTTGTCTCTACAAAAAAAAAATTGAAAAATTATCCGGGCGTGGTGGTGCATGCCTGTAGTTCCAGCTACGCCGGAGGCTGAGATGGAAGGATCACCTGATCCCAGAAAGTTGAGTGAGCCATGATTGTGCCACTGCACTCCAGCCTGGGCAACAAGGTGAAACTCAAAAAAAAAA